ATAAAGGTCAAATAGGTCCCTTAACCTCCATAAAGTTAGGTTCGAGGTCATTTGAGGGTCGAATAGGGAACAATTTACAAAATAAAGATACAAATTCATATACACAGGTTTTTTTTCAATCAATGAATTTGTCCCTACTTGTCCTTCAAATGACTTCGAACCTTTCGTGCTGGAGGCTAACAAATCTCAGATTCGTATTCAGCACGTCGAATAACATCGGGATATAGAGGTTTGGTTCAATATGCAGAAAGGTTTTTTGTTTGTAACCCGGGTAGGGATGGAAAAAAATAATAATAGATAGTCGGTTAATCGAATTTTTAAGGGCACTTTTTACAGTGAGTATTAAATTTCTACTTCTCTTGTTAATTAGTCTTAAATAAAATAAAATGAGTATGTTTAGTGGCGATAATTATTTATTATTTAACCAAGTTTGCAAAACCAAAAGTTTGATAAGCGTCTTGTTGTTAAGCGGTTGCGTTTATCGGTGGCTGTAGCACCAGCTTTTGAGAAAAGACTAAATGACAGTATTTCCTTAAAGTTTTGGGTAAACAGTTGTCAACTACAACTACAGAATTCATATTTCTTGAAAATATTTTTTACGATTATTTTACAATTAATCAATTAATAGTCGATTAATGAAACACAAAACTTCAGTACAAATAAATCGTAAATTGGACCAAAATAATCGATTAATTTAATCAAATGATTAATCGCTGTCATACCCAAAACCAGCGTAATTTACCAAATATAGCTTTCTAGATGTTTATTTTGAAAAGTCTTAAATGATCGAAAATAGCTTAAAATGATAAAATGAAACGGTGAAGTGAAAAATTAAAATGTTCACCGAATTACATTTTTTCATTCTCACTTCACCATTTCATAGAACGTTAAGTAGCCCCCAGTTTTGTAGCCCATTAAATTTGATTTATGTAGCTAGGATTTACCCTTGAGTTTTGGCAATTTTTTTTTTGTTTTCTGACGGTGTTGTGTATACTCCTACATATAAAAAAATGTTCGACCATACTTTGTATGGAAAAAATGCATGGCACCGTCAGCAAAAAAAAATGCTAAAAATATTACTTCAAACTTGCGTTTTATTAAATTAAAACTTAATGCGCTTCAAAACTGCATACCACAATTTTTTTTAAAATTTCTGATTAAAATGTTTGCAATTTTTATGAAACTTTGTCCATTTTTCTTATTTTTTCGTTTTTGTGAGCTAGTGAGTAAATAAAGAAACAAAAAATAGCCAAAACTTGTTAAAATTTCAAGTCCCTAATTAATTTACCGTCACTTTACATACACATAAGTACTTATTTATTACCCTTTGTAAAATTATCAAATTAATTATACAACAAATAACAAAAATGGATCCACTTTTTGCTTTTAATTACTTATATCTAAATACATGGCGGGCGCCTTTTCGAAACAGCACAAAGCTCCACAGAAGTTGTATTTGAATGGAATAAGGAGTGACAAAATATATGCAAGTACTGTAAAATTATGTACATAGATCAGTGGAACCGCTAGAAAGAAAAAAATTGCCATAAAACACATTCCCCACAATGTCGTACTTTCACCTCTGCTCCGGTTCGTAGTGGTAAATGTAATCTCTACACCGCTTAAGGTACAAAGAACAATGCCTCCAAAACAGCCCTAGTTTTGTTCACAAGAAAGACAAAGGTATCTGAATTCTCTTTGATACGATTTGAGGAAGCAGCTCTGACTCTCTTTTCCGAAGTGCTATATTTTGGTATTATTTAAGATTCCAAATTTCGTTACGAGAAGGAATGTGGAGAAGGAATATGGCTTTTCGAAAGCAAAATGGACAATAGTCCTGCGTCAAATAGCCTAAGAGTAAGAACTCTATAGATATTTGGCCATTTGTAAACCTGTAGACCTATAGTCTGGTTGAAAGTTCTACACAAAAGAAATGATAATGAAAATATCACAAAGGAACATGCGCATTTCTCGGCAAGTTGATAGAGCCGAGGTGAGCCCTATGAAATCAAAGTTGACTTTGAAGTCGGTACATACTGATTACATTACAGTGAGTTTAGGATGCTAATACTACAACGGTACCCTTACGACTTCCGAAGAAGATTGCAATGGTATGCGGTTTCACATTTTTTATTTTTTGTTTTTACGCAATAGCTGATGAGATGTCCCGGCTTGGTGCTGAAATGTAAGCAGTACAATGAAAATATAAGGAAAATTTACAAACATAGAAGCGATAGCTGTCACGAATGCTCCAAAGCCCAAAACAAATAATTATTTATATGGTTTTAAGGCCAGCATTGACGAGATTGAACAGATAAAGTGACGGAAGACCTTCTGAAGCTAAAAGAATATGCAGTTAGCGTTCTGACCGCTATAATAACTGGCTATTGTGATGAGGCCAAGAAGGAGTTCATTCACAAATTGATGTTCAGACTGTTGTCGAAGAGACTCAACCACTTAGAGAGAAAATTTTTAATTAGCCTGGAAACGATGACACAAAGGCAGACCTATTCAGACGAAGTAAACACTTACAACTGTATGTTAGCTCTGCTCCAGATAATTTTCTAAAAATAAATGATCGTTTGCGAACCAGTGTAATTATTTTTATAGAATAGGTAGGACTGCAAGCCGCATTAAGGATCGGTGCAGCTTGGTTCAATGGAACGAATCACGTTAAGAAAGCAGCTACCGGTGAAGTAACTGGTTCGTGTGTATCCCTGAAGTGCGCTTTAGTTCGGTAGGAATGATCAAATATATATCCTATAAACCTGGATTGATGCACACTCTGTTCTGTTCTGTTGTTCTGCAAATTTGACGTGATTGGAAGGGAATTGTCTCCCTTGAACTGCTACAACGTTGCGGAGGGATCAATTCGGTCCTCTACTGTGGCCAGCTCAACCGTGAAGTAATCCAATGCAATTTTCAATAAAGGCCCAGTTTCATTATTTACAGATACTTTTTTTCATATTACTCAAAAATAAATGATTTTATGCAGGCTCCCCTGGCTTTCGGGGCCTCATATGTACTTGAAAAAATTTTATTTCCAACAAGCAAATACCCCGCGGGCTTCATTGTGTCTTAAGAGAATTTTTGTTCTTTTGATAGCCGTATTTTAATACATTTCATTTATTTTATCAATTTAATTAAATAAAATTTGTCAAACAGGTAGCAGCCCCCTCAAAAATGCTTTCTGCAGAACACTTTCCTAAACCTCATACCCATATTGCAATTTTTAATTTATCTCGTCAAAGTAATTAAATTAAAACTTGCACACATGTGGCAATCTCCACAAGATTATTTTCGGTGGCATGCCTTCTCTTTCTTTTGACGGCTATATTGCAATATTTATTTTATCTGATCAATTTACATAAAATGCAATTTTTAAACAGCTGGCAACTCTCAAATTTTTTTCATTCTATATTTTAAGTTAGATTTTTAGCAATACATCGGTGAAAACTACTTTCAAGTTCATGCAATTGTTTTCGAGTAATGCTCGTACAAACATACAGACAGACAGACAAAAATTCTACAAAAAGTTGATTTGGCTTCTATTGCTCTAATATCTATAATGTACAGACATCGGCCTGCTACAATTTTATTATATGTATAGATAGATAAAGATTTTTTTTTTTTAAATTTTGCCAGAAATCCGCAGAAACTTTTTATATGACCAAATATTTAGCGGAACAACTTTCTTAAAATCAGTATAGTTCAGCTGAACTCGGACGAATGGTCACCCTAGCTATAACCCAAATGAAGTTTGCCTTGTTGAGCGGTAAACAAAACTTAATAGTTTTTTTTTACCAAGCATTTTATGTAAAACAAGTAATTTTTAAGCAAAAAACAAAACCGACTTCAATTCCCATATAAAAATTTAAGATTATCGTTAAGTTTTTCGTGATCCAATGATCGGATCCAAACCAAATTAGTATGGGACTACCTCTGAGGTACCACCTAAAAAAAATAATTATAGAAATCGGTTAAAGTGGTTCAAGGTTATGCGGTAACATAAATAAATAAAAATAATAATAATAATAAAATAAAATATTCCGACAAATTGATTACCTTCTCCTTTTTTGAAGTCGGTTAAAAAAAAACTTAAATAATGATCATTAGTTATTAGGAAAACAATTGTCTGTCTACTCACCACATAAATTAAAAATTTAAGAGCAATTTCAATATTTGTTCGCTTCCTGCCAGTCTAACTGTTTTATGGCGCACGTAGTACCAGCTACTTTTGTGATGGCGATTGTTGCTTTCACCGCTGTTGTTAGTGTAATTGTTGGTATTACTGTGTTTGCATGAAGCAATATACCGTTGTTGTTGGTGGTGGCTGCAATTGCTACTGTATACCGTCCAGATTGCGATTGCGAATCGAAGGTGTAATCCATTTGTAAAATTGATCGGAACGCAGATTTGCCACACGCGCCACCTATAGCAATACACACACGCACACACACGAACGCTTATAACGGCAAACCAGTTCTGCTTTATTTAGTATAACTTAGTCTCGTAAAATCGATAGCGTTTCTTTTTGCGGAAGAATTTAAGTGACAAATTTTATGAGCGTTTTATACTAATTTGCAAATGTTTTGTTTTTCAAAGATTTGTTGCTGTGTTTTTTGTTATATTTTGTTATTATTTTTTGTATAAGTAGGAAATGGAGGGAGCAGAAAATTTATTTAAATAAATATGTAATTGAGTGCCTGGTGGTGTGACAGACAAAAAAAAAAACACAAGAAAGATTTGCTGGCAACCCAGCAATGCACTTTTTTTGGCGGAGAACTAAAATACCAACAACACAATAAAGTGGCTTTTTATTTTACTATTTCTTAGTATGTATTTATGTGCTGCTGATTTCGACTTTCTTTAACTCAATTTTTTTATGTTTTTGTTTATAAATTTTCGGTCTTTTTTTAGCAAAAATATGCGAAATGTTTTACAGTTGTTTTATCGTGTTTTCGCCGTGTCAAAGTTGCAGTTTTTATTTAATTTTTTACTTTTTTTTTTGCATAAACTAGTGGAAAAATTAATTGTTCAGTTAATGTTAATCGCCGCACTTTTTTCACTTCTTTTGTAGGTACAATGTTTTTTTGCACAGATTACGTTGTGCGAGTACATCACCAACAAAAACTAAATTTAGTAATTTTGTTTACGTTTTTTTGCGGCAACTGTTTTAGTTCGTTCTTTTTTTCACGCAGCAGAATTTACAGAAACATGAAAAAGCAGTGGCGCGTAATTTTTTTGCTTTCAACGTTAAATGTTTTCAACCAATCACAACACTCTCAATCAGTATTAGAAAATGTCTGCGCTGTTGTTGTCAAATCCGGGTTTCTAGAAGATTATTTTTTTATAGAGTTTCACTTTTACTTATAAATCCTGTTGCTTTTATTGCTGTTTTTTTGTGTGTTTCAGCAGCAGCGCACAAGTTTTCCAGAATTGTTTTCGTTTGTTTTTTATTAGAACAATTGATTTTTGCACAAGTATTTTTTAGTTTGTTTTATTTTCAATTTTTTTATCTGAAATTTCACAAATTTTTCGTAGTTTATAGCTCAATGGGGGTTTATCGAAACAGTTTTCAATAGTTAATACATTCACAATTTGGTTTGGATTTTTTCGCTTTTTTTCCAATTTTGTTGTAAATTTTTGCTTGATTTTCACTTTTCACACTTTTTTGTAACTTTTGCTGTATAGCTCATTTTTTGGCCTCACATTCTCCAGCGCTGCTTTACTTCGACTGTAGTATTTCAAAGTTTTCTTTGCGATGGTGGTTTGTGATCCCGTGCAGCCTATTTAGATTTCCGTAGTAATGAATAATGATCTGCAAGGGGAAAAAAGTTAATTAGTACTCTTAAGTTTTTTTTTATTAATGTTAATGCAAAGTTAGAAGGCCCTCCAGAGCAAATCGCGGGTGTTGGTCCTGAACGCATTTTTGTTTTTTTGAATAATGACATGTATCTGGCAAATAAGCAATACATATATCGAGCGCTAACAGGCAAAAAAAAGTAAGCGACAATTTCTCACAATTTCCTTTTTGATGCAGAAATGCCTATATGGATATAAATGCTCTACACAATTTTTTTTTATTTTTTTTTATAATAGAATTATAAGCGCACCACATATTAGTTTTAAAAATTTATTTGTTTGTTGTTAATTTTTAAGTAATTTTTTTATAACAAAAACTGTACAAATTGAAGTTTTAAACTTTTTTTGCTGACAGTGTTGTGCGTTTTCTTCCATACAAAGTATATTCAACGATTTAAAAAAAAAAATCCAAAAACCAATCTTAGCTACTTTAAACCTGCATATTACCAAAACTTAATGGGCTACAAAACTGCATACTCAAAATCTTTCTAAGAAATCTAAATAAAAAACTTGAAATTTTTACGAAAATTTAAATTTTTTAATGCAAAAAGTTTCAAGCTTGGATTTATACGGGGTTGGTTAGAGAATAAACTAAATTATTTTTATAACAAAAATAGCTACAATTAAATAACAAAAAAAAACCTAAAAATTGTAAACTTGTCAATATAAAGTGCTGTTATAATTTTGACACGAGGTGTGTGTACATGTAGTGCCTTTAATCCTTTACAAATTTGTTTGGCTTTGCTAAAAGCGCTGTTAATTTGATCGCGTTTTAAGAGATTTACAATTTTGAAAACTAAAAGAAACAAGTAAGAAAGTCTAAGTTCGGGCGGAGCCGAACATTAAATACCCGACGCCAGTATTAAATATATGTTTTCCACCTTTCCGAAAGCTACCGCTACATGATAAGCCGGGGTGTATAAATATTAAGAATATTGAAATTTCAAGCATTTCTGAAATTTACCGTTATATGAAAAGCTGCCGTAATTTTAGTCCGATTTCAATAATTTTCAACGCTTTGCTTTTATGTGGCAAGCGCAATAAAAATACCGAGTTTGGTACAAATTGGTATAACGGTTACCGATATACATATATGTGATCATAAGTGGGCGGTGCCACGACCATTTTCCAAACTTTTACCATAAACGTATTTCTTGGTAAAGAATTGTTGCAAGCGTCAATTTTGAATAAATTAGCTTTAATATTTACTGATTTATCGACGATTCCGTATTTCCCTAAATTACCCTTATATGGACTGTGGGCGTGGTTATTGTCCGATTTTAAAAGATTTTCGGCCATTTGGTATGCTGTACAAAGCCCAACAATTGTGCCCAGTTTGGATGAAATCGGTGCAGCGGTTGCCAAGATATACACATGTAACCATAAGTGGGCGTGGCTACGCCCATTTTCCAAAAATTCATAACATTATTATTTTTCGTCTGAAAATTATTGCAAATATCAATTTTGAGTGAATTATCTTCGGTAGTTTCTAAAATATCGCAGTTTTCGTATTTCTGGAAATTACCGTTATATGGGAAGTGGGCGTGCTTACAGTCCGATTTCGCCTACCAGCCTACCTTGGATTAACGGAAACCTACATACCAAATTTCGTTGAGATATCTCAATTTTTGCTCGAGTTATCGTGTACACGGACGGACGGACAGACAGACATGGCTTAATCGATTTCTCTATTCATTCAGAGCATTTATGTATACATTTGTCTATATCTATCTCGATTCGTTTTGGCTGTTACAAACAACTGTTATGTGAACAAAATTAATATACCCTTGTGCACAAGTGCGCTCGGGTATAAAAATATCAAAATTTCCAGAGTAAATTTTTTTGTTCAAATATTCTTACAATTTTTGGATTTACTTAGCTTAAACTTTGATGAGTGTAAAATACAACATAAATGTAACTTATTTGAAAATCTCAACGTAAATTTTTTCCTGCAGAGCTGTAATGTCGTTTGCAAATTGCAGTGTATCGAGGTCTTATACCCTTTATCTGCAATTTTCACAAAAGCTATCATCACTGATGTTAATTCTGACTTTGCTGTTTAATAGTAAATTCTTCTGTCAAACGCTATACAAGGTCAGCATTAATATCACCGATGACAGTTAAGTCTCAAGTGGATTTTTATATCAGAATCTAATTTTTGTGAAAAGTGTAGATGGAGGGTATTGAATATAAGACCTCGGTATTTTCTAGTGTAGCCCAAGCTGAAGAATCAGATTGGGGGTTGATGTTTTCATAAAAACGAATGGTATTTTTCATTAAAAATAAAGCACACTTAGAATTCTTTATAAAGTGACATTTTCATACAAATTTTCAACACTTCCTTGGCCTTAAGTGTCGCGAAGCCGTAACATAGTTAAATGCCATCTACCAATCAGATGTACCACTTTCATGGCAGATTTTTCGGAGTAGCGTGGAAACTAAATCTGAAATAATTTTCACGGGCCCCATGGAAGTTATATTCCTGGAAGTCGTGACGACTTTTCTCTACTAGTTTCAATTGAAAGTAAGGCACATTAGAAGCATTGGAGCTCTTGGCAACATAGAGCCAAGTCCAGAGGATCATCTTAAAATTAAAGAAAATATCTTCGGTTCCGTACTGTACATAGCTTATGCCAGCGGAAAGATGAAACGTTTCTTGATAATATAGCTGTTCTTGCTATCGATTCATTTCCTAAGTAAATTTGGCCTGATCGGATAAGGATGTTTCTTGATATTAGGGCCCTCTCGAAAGTAAACACTTAACTTAAATTTAAAATGCACGTCGTGTTAATAATAATAATCGATTGGCGCTTACACATATGTTAGTGTTTGGCCGAGCTTCTCTTCCGATTTGTGGCGTGCACCTTGATGTTGTCACACAAAGAGGAGGGACCTACAGTTTTACGCCGACTCCGAACGGCGATTGTATTTTTGTGAGAAGCTATTTTTCATGGCAGAAATACACTCGGAGGTTTGCCATTGCCTGCCGAGGGACGGCCGCTGCTAAGAAAAAACCTCTTTTCTATATTTTTTTTGTGATGTTGCTTTGACCAGGGTTTGAACCCAGGTGCTGCGGAGTGGAAGCGCGCACTGCTTACCACTACACCACAGCGGCACGTCGTGTTACTTAAAATTATATTGGGAAGGATTGCAAACTCTTTATACCGCTGCACAGTGCGGCTGAAATCGAAAGCTTTGAAAAAATGATTCGCAATTTCGTACTAGGGGGTTTTCGGGGTCACTAATTACTAATCCGCTGTCAAAATTGCAAAATTCAATTTCCAGTTTTTTAATTAAATTTGTTAGAAAGATTATGAGTATGCGGTTTTATAGCCCATTCAATTTTAGTCTCACACAGTCCAAGCTTTAAGCAGCTAGGACTTACCGTTGATTTTTGACAACTTTTTACTGTTGACGGTGACAGTCATTTTCGAAGTATATTCGATGGTATGAAGAAAATGAGCAACACAAAAAAAAATCAAAAATCAATAGTAAGTCGCAGCTACTTTAAGCGTAACGCTAACTGAGTATAACTCAAATTAAACTGGCTTTAAAACTGCATACTCAAAATCTTTCTGTGAAATCTAATTAAAAAGCTGGCCATTTTTACACACAGGTGAAACTAATATGTATAAGCGTGCACAAAAAAAAATATATAAGAAGCAGAGATGAGCAGCTGAGTTTTTGTTTTTATTCTGTGGCTAATACTTTCCTACGCGAACTCTAATAGGTTTAAAAGCAGCATTCGACAGCGTTTTGTTAATGTTGCATTTAACCACTCAAATTTTGCTTAAAAATAAACGAAAAAATACCTTTACATTTTTTAATTCTTAAAAATTTCTGTTACAGCATTATTTTTCACAAATTTTTAACGTATTTTACTAACCTTCAGACGTAGAATCCATTTGGTTTTGTTTGGTTTTCTATTCTCTAACTACTTTTATACGTTAATAACTTTTCGCTTTTTATTACAAAAATGTTGTGCTTGGGAGAAAGTCACACTAAAAATGAGTATAATGAGTGGACTTAAGGTACAGGTCGTTACAGTGAAACGTTTTCGGTTGTTAGGTGATCCCTTAAGCCAACTCAATGTCAAAACTTTATTTTCTCGAATTTTGGGCGCACTTTTGGGATTCGGCCGCACTGTGCTGTTACGTAATTGTTAGGTTGCAGCATGCAGACTTATCAGTACGTGGAATATGTATTAAAAATTCATATGAAATGCAATAAAGAGATCAAAAAGTCCTTTAAGTTCACGAAGACGCTTAAAAATCGTAATTAAAAAAAAAAATAGTCCCATCGTCATTGATACAAAAAACGTCAAAACTAAGAGGAAATCGTCAATTCGACAAATGATATGCGACTGAAGATGAATGAAAGTGAACGCATTAAAATGACATTTACATTAAAGGAAAAAAAGTTGAACTCTGTGAAAATAAATGGCAACCCTACAGATCAAAATAATAGTGAAAAGTAACCGGTGTATGACACTGGATAAAGAGCCAATGCGAAGTATTCAATTTGAAAATAAAGTTATCCAAGTAAAACTGAAAGCGCTAGGTGTATTGACGGGATTTTAGCAGATAAATCTATATTCAATATTTATAAAATACAGAGAATGCAGCTGAAAAAATATCCACAAAGGTCTTAAGCCTTAAATGGTATTGCGTGGTCCGCGCGACCTTCACATTATGTTTGTTTCTTATGTAGTTATTTAAAACTTACGATATGCGTGTATGGTTACGATAAACCCGATAAACTTGATAATGTTAAAAAACGGAGCATTAGCCCCTCAACACGATTAAGGATCAGCCAAATAGCATTGCGCTAGCATCCCTAATGTCATGTTCCTTATAAGGAGTGCCAAGAAAATATTAAAACTCAACCCTATAGTATTAATATCTACACAGATGGCTCGAAACTCGGCGGCAAGGCAGGAGGGGGACGTTTTCTCGCGCCACCCTGCCCTGAAATCTCTTTTAGGTTACCAGACTACTGAAGCGTATTGCAAGCTTGGTTTCCTGGCCATAGGGAATAGAGGGAAACTGCATGGGAGATGAGCTTGCAAGGCTAAGCATGACCGAGCAGAACTCATTGGTATGCCGTTTTCCACTTGCAAGCTGCTACTTAGCGAATTTATATACATACAAACAAGCTGAAGGAAGATGGTGTCAAAGTACAACTTGCCGAACTTCCAGGCAGACGCGGCCTATATGGGCTCGGAAGCGATCTCAAAAAGTATACTCTCTTAGAAGAGAGGATATATTTAACATTGTGGGGACTCTGACCGGGCACTGTCTAATAGGTAGGCATGGAGAAAGGCTTATCGTGGCCTTCCGAATATATTGCAGCAGCTATAAGGACTACGAAGAGGAAGCAACGGTCTTAGATCTCTTTGTAAATGCCCTGCAGGCTGCGCCATCTGGGTTTACCGTTCCTGGCCATTCAAATGCCGATGCAAGATGCCTGATAAGATTCATCAGCGAGACGAAGTGCTTCAACAGGGATGAACTGTGTCAAACTGTGGCAACACAATTGGCCTCCTAGCTATGGCCTAAGCGCCGCTAGCTATGACGGAAAATATTAACATCCAATTTGTTTATTTATGTAAACATTTTTTAATACTAAAGGTTTTTTATTGATTCCCGATTGCATTTTCTGGGGGTTCTGGCGAACCTATAAAATATAGTTACTATGAAAACAATTGTTAAAGGAACAATTGGGTATTAATATTGGGAATCTCCTGAAGAGAAACAGAGTTTTCCGATCGAAAAATATTGGTTTTCAAGAATGTTATACCATTTTTACGATTTTTTTTCCCCCATATAAAATGTATGGAAAACTTTGAGCGCTTTGAGCACTCCCTAAATATATTTTGATTTCAAAAAAAAAAATGGGGGTATATTTTTTTTCGGTGTAGAACAATCCTAGGGGGAGGCGGCATTAAAATTCCGACTTTTTTTGCCCACATTTTTGAACCACCCTAATGTACATTTTCGTTTCATTTATTATCAAAAGAGTGATATTAGTATGTGAAATTAAGCAACATAATATTCAATGCACTAGCAAGAATTTATTCTTAAGTTTTTAAGTCTATGACGAATTTTTTAGATTCATTTGAAAGGTGCATTCAACATCAGCATGTTAGAAAAATGTATTTTCACCGCAAGTTTTCACTAAATCAGTTATACTATATCAGAACTAAAAAATATCTGTAGCTGTAACTTTATTTCATCTATCAGCAGTTATTTCTTTGCTTCAACAAGGCAGCTGCTGTACAGACACTATTTTGTAACACGAACTTAATATAATATATATAATTAGATTTTGAAACTTATAAAATCAGAAAACTAAATCAATTTGGCAGCTATCATTTTTGCAATGGCTCGAGAATATGTAATTGCATTAAGACAACTTAAACTAGAAATGGTCAATGGTTCGATAGGACACATTTAAAATCAGGAAAACCAATTTCACCAGGTATTGAAGATGTCCGCTAATAGCCGCGTATTTGATAACATTATCAGATATTTTTTCCAACGGCTTGGCCACACAAACTAAATTTATTGAACTTGCATATGAAATAGATAGAAGTGGTAGCACATATTTTCGAAAGCCCAATGCTTTTGCCAATTAACGTCACGATTCACCATATTGACCAAGAACAAAGGCTTCCTAAGGCATATTTTTTCTTTTGGATAGAACATCGTTTTTCTAGTTCTCTGTAAAATTTTGGGCACTGATTTTCTTTAAAAACAAAAAAATCGTAGAAAATATTTTTTTTTCTAGTAGCAAACGCCTTCTATAGCCAATGAGAAACCTTCCGGTGTACTAAATATTTTTGTCATGAAGTTGCACCATTTGCCTTCAGAGTGGCACAAATCTGCACTACTTACTAGCAATATTTCAAGAATTATTAAAAAAAACTGGTCGTATTTACGAATTCACACGAAATCACGTTTGTACGATAAAAAAAAATTCAAATTTGAAAACTTTTTTGTGTATCGGAAATATTTTTAAGAAAATTTCGGATAACTAGACATGTCCTTAGCGGATTCTGCTATGCATTTGTTTTATTGAAAATAATCAAGATCACAATGCTACTAAAACTTTTCTTTATTTTTTTTTTGTGCTAACACAATTTTTGCTTACATTAATCTATTTACGTACATTTTTCCTCCTAACCGATGTACGTAAATCAAATTGCCTTGGATTAGAAAAATTCCACGAACTCTTAGTAATAAAAATGATTTAGATAACATCTATTGTTTGCAGAATTTGAGGCCAATTTGAAATTCTTTAATTCAAACTCACATTTAAACGATTTTGGGACAAAAAGTAGGCATTAACTTTTGTTGAATTTCACAATGAATCCATATTTAAAGTAACTCCATCCTTTGGAATACATAGCAAATTTTTTTATTACCTTTTCAATAAATATTCTTTGAGTTTTTGATGTTCAAAGTAAGATTTTCTTGGCTTAGAGCCGTTTTTTCCAAATAGGATTTTTAAAAGTGTATTTATTTGTATATTTTTTTTTTGAGAACGGAATTCGCGTTTAAAGGGCAGATAAATTTTAAAACCTACTTCAGCGAACAGCCCTTAGGCTTTTTAGATATTCTAGAAATTTCGTTTAAAAAATTGTAGCATTTGATTTAAAAAAAATAGTTTTAGCAAAATAATAAAAAAAAAAAATTTTTAAGTAAACAGTTTTCATTGAGCTTGAGGCCTTTTTTCATAAAAAGTTATTGTGGAAAGATAACGACAGCTTATTCTACCATTTAAAACTTTTGTTGTTTTTTCCACAATAACTTTTCATAAAAAACGGCCGCAAGCTCAATAAAAATTATTTAATATGATTTATTAGGGCAAAAAACCATATTCTCTTTAAATTTTCTTAAAAAATTACTTGTTTTTGGGAAAAGGTGAAAAGTTTTAAAATTTGATTTAAAAAACTTAGTATTAACAAATAGATTCGAAAAAAAAATTTTAATTTTTTCAAATTAATAATTTCAAAAATTTTAAATACCTAAAAGTTCCCATTAACAATATTATCCCAATACTAAAAAAAATATATTTTGCCACAAAACTTCAAATTTTTTCACAAACATTGCGTGGATTTTTACACTGCAGTGAATATTTAGTTGTTTACCACGGCAAATGAAATAAAAGAACTCTGCATTTAAAAATTATCACTAAAACATACAAACTTTTTCAAACAAAAGCTCTAAAAGGCATTTCTAACGTTTGTGCAAAATTCTGAAATCTCCAACACTAGTCCACGCGGACATCAGCGCCTAAAATCTCACAGCTCAAAATGAAAAACAGCCAAAGAGTTTAAGAAAAAACCACTCAACGTACTTTTAATAAATTTCCGCCCGTATGAAAATGATTTTCTGCAATTTTCCCAAGCCAATCACATTTTTTCGGCATTTCGCGACGCAACACTGCATGCGTGCGGCTTGAATTGACGTTTTAGCGGCGGTATGAGCAGGCGAAGCGTTTCGTATTGGCTTTGCATGCGTTCGATGAAAGCGGGTTTTAAAAACATTTTGTTTTGCTTAATCTTTGTTGTTATTTTTTAGCAATTAAAATAATCGAGTACTTAAAAAATGTTCACGATTTTAATTTTCACAGCGCGTATGCGATTTTGCGTTGAACGATTTGTTGCTGGCGAATTTTTATTTCATACTTTTTTGTTGAGTATTTTAATTCTTTCTCTTAATTGAAATAATTTCTTCTTAAGAACTCAATTAATTCTTTTTTTTTGGAAAATATATATTTTTTTAAGAATTTTGTATTTTGTGTTGTGTATTACTACTATATGTGTTGTGTGCTGCACTTGTCCGGCGAATGAGAACAACAACACACGCGCGCAACAAAATTTTTTCGCCGGTGCAAGCCAAACAAACGTACGAAGGTATCTGCAAGAACTGCAGTGGCATCGCGTGCAAAATCTCTGTCAGAGTCAGAGGCAGTCGCATGGCCTGGCGTAGCGTCGCGTCGCATTGCGCTGCGTCGTCCATCCATACAACACAACAAAACCCTTCGAACCATGCAACCAACCAGTCAAAAAAAACACCACCGAGTAAGCGGCCAACAACCAGCAGGCAAGAAGAGCCGCAAAAGCCAAAGCCAAGCGACCAGGCTGAGTGGCAAAATCAACGAACGCAATAATTGCAACAACTCAGCAGTGTGTGGTGGATAAGGTGCTGGGGAAAGAGGGGAGGTAGGCAACGCAACGCACTCAAGCCCGCCGCCATTCGAAGCCACTCAGCAACCAACTAAACAAGCAGCAAATTTAATGCAAAAGTGTGCCTATGTTGGTGTGGTTATGCATGTTGCTGCAACTCTTTTACTGCCTTCGTTGTGTTGCTTGCAACAAGGCTCTAACTTTTTACCATGAAAGAGCTGCAGCGCTCAAAAAGAGAATCGGTTGTGCTGCTAAAGTGGCTAAGAGTTGCATAAAATGTGCGTCTCTTGTTAGCAACATTGCAGCAACAGTAACAGCCACAGCAACAGCAGCAGTGGCGTTGCATGCAACATTCACTGTTGCGTCGCAATGCCCTTGCAACACATTGCCGGCGCTGTGAGTGTGCCCTTCTTCCCTTTCCTGTTTATTTATTTAATTTTATAATTTTCTTTTGATTTTTGTGTTTTTATATTTTGAGCCAAGTTGTTGCTGATAGTGTATAGTGAGCGGGGGCAATTGAGCATTGAGTGTTGTAGAGGTGTTTGTGTTAGTTTTGGTTTTGGTGTTGATGGTGGCAAGTGCACAATGGGTAGGTGGCAATCAGCTGCTTTTGCGTTGCTAGTTTTGTTGTTGGCTGCACACATTTACATAAACATGTATGTATGTATGTACATGAATATGCTACGGCTGTTTGTTTGCTTTTTCACCTTTGAAATTTTCTGAAATATTTTTTGGAATATGTTGCAAATTAAATCTTAATTATTGACTTTTTATTTAAGTGGTTTGAAGCAGAAATGTGAATTTTTGAAAAACTAATTGAAAATTCCATCATTTTCAATTCTATGCCAAAAAAATCTGTGTTTTTTCGGGAGCGATAAGCGTCAGAATAAGCCGCCCAGGAATTGTGCGCTCGCTTTCGTTCTGGAAATTTCGAAAACAATGATGTTAAAAATGGCCGACAATCACTGAAAAATTTGAGGAAGCATTTCAAACGCTTGAGCAAGAGCGGCATGTAATCAGTCCGGATAAGTAATCTCCAGCAGGAAACAATTTATAAAAATTTGGAATAGGGTAGTTACAAATAAAAACTCGATGCTTAGTTAGCCCAGGAATTAATAGTGCTAAAGTCGGTAAATTTGATTAATGAGGGAATCGATGTTAAAACGAAATTATTGCTGATAATGAAAGATGAATCCTATACGACAATGGCATGCGAAAAAGATCATGACAACTAAGCAAAAAATACAAAAGCATCACTGGGAAGTTTTGATGCACTCAGTCATGAAGACGGATTCTGTGCCCTTGGATTATCATTGGCAATAAAGCGAGCTATAAAATAGGCGCAGACAATACACCCCTTCAATGGTCGCACCACGAAAAATACACGAGTCAGCTACTCCGAGGAGACCAAATGTCCACCACAAATCTGTACCAGGAGGTAAACTATTGAAATATCTAAGATCTTCACTGAAGGATAGTCTGGGACTGCCAAAAATATATAAAAATACGAACACTCATCAAATGCGAAATTAGTATCGTAGGAAAATCAGACAAGAACGTAAAACTTCGAACCATCCTCAACAGCACAAGAATGTCGCGTTTAGACATCTAGTAATCGAACTTTAACGAACTCCATTGGAAAAAGAAGCTTTCAATAAAGAATTTAACACAATATATCGATGACTGAGTGGAAGATCGAGCTAATTCGGCAACCGATACAAAAACGCCCTCTCTCAGAAAATGGCTTAAGAACGTCCTACTTCAGAAATTGTGTGAAGATGCCATATCTAAGAATTTGATTGAGGAACGCCCTACTGTTACTGATACTTGTGATGCTGGTATCCATTTTCTTGCCGTCCATAGTCTATGATCGCACAAAATTTAGGGCGCATTGACTTGTTGAAGGTTCAAAATCAGCCTTATCCTCATGTAGTTATCAATCAGTTATCGACACTGCTTGTATGTTGATAAGTAAAGGGGTCCCACCGTTTATTTTAAAATATCGAATATAATGCGGATGGAACAAGGCAGGACACATGGAAAAAAATCAGTACATTTTGAGGTTTTCCTTTTTTGAAACTACGCAGGAAAGACCTTTGAATAACAGTACGGCCCTGCAAAAAAACCGGACGGATGGTCACCGTACCTATACGCATTAAAAAAGAGAAACAACGTGGGAAGCATATTAATAAATAGCACACAGGAAGATGACTAGATGACTATGTCATAACAGTTACACAGAGCAAACAGGGCGCAAGATATAAACAAGATATCGTGAACATAGAAACACAACTACCAGTTACATTTTATAATAGAATCCTCTAAACTATACCTTACTAAGAAACAAAGAGCATTATCACGACTATAAACATTGATGGACAAACGCAAACTATTCAGAACAAAAAAAATTACACTAAAGATGGCACAACACTGACACCAGTATGTCTCCAAACCGAAATTTACAAAGGAATAGGGCAAATTGTTTCCAATGCACCACTCAATTTAGTTGTTTGCTCAGAACCCACTGAAGTTATACAGTGATGACGTTGTGGCTTTACCACAAAAAAGACAAAAGAAAATCGATAAAAATTACACACACTTATCTCAAAAAAGCTGATATGGATTATGAAAAAAAAAATCATTTAAATATCCCCAATATTTTATAATGAAATAAAGTTAAATGGATCTAGTACTTCGGGGAAATATCTCGGGCTAGGAACTTTGCAATACCTAACAAAAAAACACGTGATACACACTTAAACTTAAAATATGTTTATTTAAATTTTAGGAAGAAAATACGCCTATGTCCTTCTGTAGCACAAATACGATTTTATTTGATGTTCTTCATTAAAATCAAACTTTTAATTTTGTTGCTTATTCCGAACAAAAAATTTGCCTTCCAGGTTTATACTATGCTATCGATATTGATTGTATTGTTTTAAGCGATAAAATAATTATGTTGCAACCAGGGTAGCCAATTCATTTTTGAGAATTCCCCGATTTCGGCAATGAAATTCTCCGATTTCGCCCGAAATTTCGTAAAATTCCCCACCCATAGATAAGAAATTGTAGGTATTTTGATAAATTACAGGTCTTTCTGTTTATTTTTAAAGGTAATTCATCTATGATAAACCAAACCAAACTTTTATAAAGTTAGTTAACAAATAAATAATAATAAAATATTTATGAGAGTGCAGTGGTCGAAATAAATTTAGTCGCACCAATTAATTTTATCCTTTTTTGTTATTTAATTTGAGTTATTTTTTATAAAAATATATGGAGTTCATTCTTTAACAAAAACCGTATAAATCCAAGTTTCAAACTTTGTGCAATATTTGAGAAAAAAATCAACAAACTTTTGTAAAATTTTCGAACTTTTTAATTGGACCTCCTAGAAAGATTTTGAGTATGCAGTTTTGTAGCCCACTCAATTCTAGAATAATAAAGTACAAGTTTCAAGTGGCTAAAAATTTTCGTTTTAGGACTTTTTTGGCGAAGTTGTTCAAGTTATATGAAAGCAAATACGACAAACATAATTTAAAAAATCAACGGTAGCCGGTTTTAGCCATTTGAAACTTTACAATACTAGAATTCAACGAGCTGAAATTCCTCACAAAAAACGATCCATTCCCCGATTCCCCCCGCAAATCGGGGAATTCCCCACGAGTTGGCTTCCCTGGATGCAACTGAAATGATTTGGTTGTACCTGTGTCCAGGTTTTATTAAAATTTAATTGATTTTCTCTAAAAGCAAGTCTGCTAATCTTTCCTTATCTTTTTAACTCAACTAGGAATTAATTTTTTGCGAAACTCTATTTGATATCAAGTTATCTTGAGTGGTTTATTAACAATCTCCCTAAACCTTAACTCTGATAGAAAAATGCAAAAAAAATACAGAAGCCACAAATAAGGCTGATGAAGCATGCAGTAAAGTAGGCGCAAACTCGGTGAACTTTAAAATAGCGAACACTTAGCGAATCGTCATCACTTATTTAAGCCAGAGAGTGCGAGCTTTCACAGGTCTGCCAGAAGTTTGTCCTCTTATAAAGTTCGACAATCAGACATCCAAGGTTTTACATTTTTATAAAATAGAACTCACTCTATAAGGGGACGCATACTAAGAAGAGTGAATACTTATGGCTGAGCTGAGCTCTTAAGCAAACTGATAAGCGCTAAGTAAACAAATCCACTACTTAAAGCTCTTTAGAATAGGATCTGTATGTAAACCCTTGGTGTGTGCAGTTGTATATAAGCAGTGTGCTTGTTTACTTTGTGCTTATAAGTTAATCTCTCAGTTCAATCATAAGCGCTCTGTGTGCCCGTCCCCTAATGCCATAGTGCTGCAGTGGGCACAGCATTTCCGCCTGCAGATGTTTTTTGGAGATTCACAGGGTAAAAGCACTCCCCCTCTAACCATTACTGCTGTACTGTAAAAATATGGACTTTCAGGAACAGTAAACGAAACTTGTTGATTTTATAACACAAATCCCAAACCTACCAGAGAGCATACTCAAGCTGTTAAAAAATGTGCTGAGAACTGCGCCGAATAAAATTCTCTGCTACTCGATTTTTTCAAGCACTTCTCAGATTTTCAAAAACTAAAGCAGTTTGTTTTTAAAATCAACAGCAAATTCACGTAAAATGGTAAAAAAACAAGAACTCATATTTATTACTTATTTACCCTTAAAGTCGCTGAAGTCTTGAAGGCATTCTTTCTAGCGAAAGTACAGTATCTCTCATTCGGTTTCAGTTTGGGATAATTTGGTGGATTTGCTTCTCTTGGAACATAATATACCTTATTCATTTCTGCTGTGCCGCACAGTGGTTCCAAATCAACGAAAAGCGGAAAAAACGTGTAATACGAATTTAGAAAAATCAAAATGGCCGAAAAAATGCCGAAAGTCTCAAAAAAAAG